CTCGCTTGACCGACTAAAGGTGAAGGAATGAATGAATGAATGAATGAGGGCGATGAATGGATGACGGCGGAAGGAGGAGTGGCTCACTAACGCATGCCAATCACCGCGCACCTTTTTTCTTTTCAACAGTGGTAAAGCACAATACGGCTCTGCGGTGGTTCTCACCCCTTCTTCGTCCTTCCTCCTCCCCCCCGCCAACACCACCACCACTGGCACGCAGCAGTTGCGTGTGCTCACCTCGCATTTCTCCGCCCATCACACCGTTCTTCGCACCACCGAGGACTTCATCGAGGCCATCCGAAAGGCACGTGAAATTGCTGACACCTTCGCACCTCGATGGGCAAATCAGTCGGCATTGGTGCACCCAACCACATCAACATTCGCCAAACTTGCCTCTCAACCGCGTGCACCTCAACCCAACTCCGTTTTCCCCTACAGGTGAGTGCACACACACACACACCTTGACATTTGTTCATCCTCGTGAGGATATTGAATGCTTTGTACTGCTCCTTCTCCTCCTCCTCCTCCTCCTTGGCAGTGTCTTCTACGTCTTCTACGAGCAGTACGTAAACATCGTTTACGAGACGGTGGTGCAGATGTGCTTGGGTCTGAGTGCAGTTTCCCTCATAACTTGGGTGATGCTGGGTTTGGATTTCGTTGCAACGCTAAATGTGGTGGTGGCAGTGGCGTCCATAGCGCTCTCCGTGGCTGCTGCGATGGTGCTGTGGCACATCTCACTCAATGCCATCTCACTGGTCAATCTCGTTGTGGTAAGTGGTGCCTCTTCTTCTTCTTCTCCTACTCGGCTACAGCTTAACCGCCCTTCCCTTCATCCTCTGCCAACATCCATTTTATAGTGCATTGGAATTTCGGTGGAATTTTGTGCGCACATCGTTCGCACCTTCGCCATCAGCACGAAGGCCACACGTGTGGAGCGAGCACTTGATGCACTCTCCGAAATGGGCAGTTCGGTAGGTGTCGTGCATTCCTTCACCTCTATGCAACTGTACTTCCTCCCCACCTTCCACGCGTGTTTGATGTGGTTGCCTTGATTTCTGCCACGGCTGTCTTCAGCCATCACCGAGTTACTCCTTGGCTGGTTGGTGGTTGAGGTGGAGAAGTTCTCTTGTTGCAAAGAGAGTCTTCTGATGTTGCTAATCTTTTTCTTTTTTTGTTTTTTTTTGTTGTCGCCTTCCTTCATGGAGGCGTATTGCTGAACGCTACTATGGCGCCACTTTCCCTCGTCTTGGGGCGGTTACATGCACCTTCGAAACTGCACCATCAGCTGGCAATAGCGAGGCGTCAACAGCTTCACTTGGTGACATTTTTCTTTTCTTTTTCTTTCTTTAGGTGCTGCGAGGCATCACACTCACCAAGTTTGGTGGCATTGTGGTGCTGGGCTTTGCAAAGTCGCGACTGTTCCAAGTCTTTTACTTTCGCATGTACCTGTGCATGGTCCTCTTCGGTGCTGTGGTTGGCATCATCTTCCTGCCCGTTCAACTCAGCTACTTTGGTGAGTCGCAAGTTGTAGTCCTCCACTGATGCCCTCTTCAACACCACAAGGCGTATATTTTTGACTGACAGTGACAGTTGCATTGTCATCAGCACGTCACATTTGCTAACGAACTACTTTTGAACCGAGACGTCGTGGTCGGATTGGGAGGGGAGAGCTGCACCACATTGCGGCCTCACACCTTCTACCAAAAAACATTTTTTTATTTTACTACTTAAAAGCATTGGCAGCACTTGTCAAATAGGTGTCACTGATAGTGGATGTACTTTTGACTGTTTGTCTGTGTTGTGCGCAGGGCCACAGTTGAATCGAGCGATGCTGTACAAGCAGAAGCGACCGGTGGCTGGAAGCATTCGGAAGGGCGGCGGTCATCGAGGTCAACGACATGTGTAGCCTTCATTCTACCGCTGTTTCACTGCCACTGACTTCGCCCAACCTCTGTTGTCTTCCACACCACCGATTCGATTTTTGCTTCCTCATTCTCATCTCTCCCTTGCTCCCTCGCTCGCTTGCTCTTCATCCTCCTTGGCCAACTGTCCCACTGATCTCCTATCTCTCTCTCTCTATTTCCTATTCACTCCCTTTTAACCGCCCTCTGTGCTCTCGATGACACAATGTTGTCTGAATGTTAACTCAATGCTAATGATAATGACGATGTTGATGGCATCTGTGCCGAGACGACGTTAGTTTCCTACTCAGCTTATTCTACAACGACGACTACAGACGATGATTTTACAAACTCATACAACCACTCACTCAGTGACATGTTCTCTCCCCTCCCCTCGCCCTGCCCTCCCCAAACCGTGTACACGCACATTGCTTGTCTGTGTGAGACCGCGTTTGTATGTGCGAAAGTATTTTGGAAGTACATGTACGAGGCGTAGAGACTGAGTCCTTCAGCATCCTCTCTTTTGTACGACGGAGGCGTGAATGGGTGGAGAAATGCGAGAGTTGTGTGATTGGCCTTCGGGGGCGATGATAATGCACTGCTCAACATCTTTGGACGGATTTTGTGTGCATTAAACGCAGGTGAGGTGTGGTTTCGTTCATTCACTTTGTACACTTGTGGTTGTTTTGTTTTCTCGATGTCAAATGTGATTGTCGACGTCACATTTGCCAGTCACTTTCTGGTGTAAACGCGCCATTGTAAGGTGATCGCTCTACCAGTTCACCTCTTTTTTCACTTTCTGGAACTCATTTATGAAGGAGGTGATTGCGCGGATGAATGGAAGAGAAATTTGGCTGTTGTGTTAGACAGCAGTTAAGAAGTAATGCAAAAATGAAGAAATGGTG